GATAACCAGATAATCAGTGTTATTCACTTCACCCGTCAGTGCTCATAATGTTATGGTTGATCGGTATATAAGAAATCACTTCTCATTGGTAAAATATATTGGAAGATTACACTCACTTCTGTCTTCTGAAGCTATTCTTTGAACTTCCAAAAAGAAATAGAAAAAAATGGATTACATAATATCAACTGGACATACTATAGGCTGACTTAACACAGTTTAAACCTATTCAGTCTAACGACTGAATGATCACAACAGTATTCTACCCTGCCATGTAAAACTGTGGGGACTAAATGGAGTTTTTAATCATTAACTTCCTTTTGGGGCCAAAACTATTCCAAATGTAAAAAATAATTTTTTTGTCTGAAGTTGTTATCTTTGTGAAAATAGCCATTAAAGCAATTAGGAAAAACATTAATATAATAGGTGATTCCAAACTTTTGAACAATGGTGTATGTACACACAAATTCAGTTTCTGTCCATCACATAATCATGTGGTGTGTCTCTCCTGAGTGTCTCACTCTGTTTTCCCAGCTGATTATTGGCTGATGGTGACTTAAGTAACTGGCTTCCATTAAACCCATAACAGCAGTAGGTGAAGATCCTCCACTTATTTTTCTGCACGTTACTCCTAATTAATTGTTGAACTGAGACACAGGATTCAATTAACAGTCAGTGTATCTTATCTTCCAACTCAGCCATTGGCAGAAATGTTTTATTATATTTTCATTAATGTTTATCTACAGGCGCCGCTTCCATGGAGTCCACTATGTTGAACTGCCATGTTCTAGCCCAGAACGGACAAACCAAACACTGGCTGTAGATAGGGACTTGCAAGTTTCGTGGCTTCAGTAGTTCCTCGTACGCCCAAAAACAATAGCAGCAAGCAGCGCTGATCGGGCCCTCGCTGTCCACTGCGGTTGGTTTATGTGGAGCCATTTTATCACCCATGCACAAGACTCATATCAGATGTGACATTTTACCATTTGTGATATTTCTGTAGAGTTTCATGGGTTTTTGAGCATGTTTAGCCCACCAAAAAATGTAAAAACTGTAAAAAAGGAACCATTGACATTCGCATTGTCACAGTGTTACTGCTCGGGCACCCTAAAAAGACTAAAATGGCCAGTACTAAAAATATATATATATAAATAAGTGCTCTGTCTGTAAACAAACAGAAGCCAACCTGCAGTCCTCACACCTGTTGCCCATGCTTATCTGTTTGTGGCTTTTATCTGGATTATTGTGTGTCTGTAGTAAATATGTGATATTAACTGCTGATAGTTGACTGTGATGGGATCTCACTCTGGTTTATCTCAATCTCTGTCTCTTATCTGTCTCTCTCAGGTGTCCACATTGTCCAGTGGATGTACGGCTGTGAGTGGGATGATGAGACTGAAGAGGTTAATGGTTATGATCAGTGGGGTTATGATGGAGAAGACTTCATAGCATTTGACCTGAAGACAGAGACATGGATCGCTCCAAAACAACAGGCTTTCGGCACCAAACATAAGTGGGATCGTGACAAAGCTTGGCTGAATACGACAAAACACTACCTCACCCAGGAGTGCATTGAGTGGTTGAAGAAGTATGTGGACTATGGGAGGAGCTCTCTGCTGAGAACAGGTAGAATCACATGAATTATATGACCTGATGTCGTTTCATAGACACAACAGTGTTGCTAAAAACAAGTATTGTTTTTCAGATTATAATGTGTCTGCTGTAGAACAGACAGCTTTAGACAATCCACTTCCAGTGGACACTGTAACAGAGATGTAACAGAGCCTAGCCACTGTGCAACAAGAACAGCCAGTGAAAATCTGGTATAGTATATTATGCACTGCAGATGGAGTGATGTAGCAAGTACAGTGTGGTATGGTGCAACCATCAATCATTTAGTGAACTCTGTATCAGCAGCACAGTTAATTACAGTTTGAGTGACTTAGTGAAATTTTTGTGGACAGTGTCTTCTTTACTGTCCAGCTGTCAGTAATCCAGATGAGGAAACTCGGATACAAACAGTCCGTAACACTGCTGTGCTCTACCTGCTCACTGCTGCTCAGTGGCGTGCAACACAAGAAACGTTATGATACCGGAACAAAAAACTTAGATTAATCTTAGTGTGACTGTGGGGGCTTAAAGTGTATGGGTCAGATGATTATTGAAAGGGAATTGAGAGTTTAAATTATGTATGGTTAATGGGAAGAGGTCGTATTTTAATGAAATGAAAAGCAGTGTTTGACTTTATTTTGGTTCCACATGATTGTCTACAATCTTGTATCTCTTTTGAGGTACTGAGACGAGGTACAATAGTTGAATTTGCAGGTTGTTCTGATTTAATTGGAGGTTATAGACTTTACTTTACTCAGTGTTGTATTTAAAATTTCATACCTGGTATGCAGTTGATCACAGTAATAAAAAAACAAACCAACTCCTCTTCTCCATGAGTACTAATAGCCAGGTTACAGAATTAATCAATAGGAGAGACTTTATGTTTGTGGTAGAAATATTTCTGTAATTGTACTCATGAGTAATCAGACATAATGTATGAAGTTAAACATTTGATAAAAAAGTTTTAAAAATCTAACTTTTTCAAGCAACCTTATTGGTTAAAACAGTAGCTAGTTGCAATCTAGGTGTAGAGCAGTTATTTTATTCACAGACTTTAAAGACAAGCAGATTTATAGAAAGAAATTAAAATAATGCCAGTTTATATAAGATAAAGCATATAGGAAGTATAATATTCTATCAGAGAGGACAGGTATTGTCCTCAGCAGCATTTCTGGAATGAAATAAGAAGGCAGAAGAATTCCATGGAGGCCATAGGACTAAGCAAGGAGAAGTTAAAGGAAATATAAATAAAGTATTTTTGGTAATTATATATAAACATATAAACTTTTTTGACACATTTCTGCAGGTAATTTGTTTTAGGGAAAAAAGAGAATGTGCTGGCAGATGATACCAACTAGAGAAGGTTTAAATGATTATTAATAAGAGCAAAAGTGGAAAAAGCTACAGGTATTGAAACTCTGCCTGCTGAAGTTATACCTCCCTGCCCATGTTCTGGACAGACTGTTTAGAAGATGTTATGAAATGGGTAAAATGTTTTCTTCTGTTTGGTCCAGAATGATGACCAAAGTATATTTTAGTATAAATACGTACATACGTATGTATTTATGTATGTACGTATGTGAAAATGTAGGTTGTCTATAAATTCAAAAACTGAAATTCTACATTTTAGAAGCTCTTGATCTCACATTAACACTTGCTAGTTTGGGGATAAAAAGTTCAGAAAGAAAGGTGTATTTGTGCTCAAATTACAGCTCAGTAGAGTTCCTCTTTTGAGACGAGTTGGTATGTTCTTTAGTTTATTTATACAAATGAGTTGTTAAATAGGCATGACTCACATTTAAAGAGATTAGCAATATAACAATACAGTCTCTCTCCCTCTCTCTCTCCAGA